CCACCATCTCCATCCCCACCATCTCCATCCCCACCATCTCTATCCCCACCATCTCCATCTCCACCATCTTTATCCCCACCATCTTTATCCCCCCCATCTTCATCCCCATCCTCACCATCTTAATTCCCATCCTCATCCCCATCCTCACCATCTTCATTCCTGCCTCCATCCTCATCCTCCTCCCTGCCTCCATCCTCACCCCCACCCTTGTCCCTGTCACCTGTTGGAGTGCTCAGCAGCGATCTCGTAGATGCTGACGTGGAGGGTGTTGTTGGCATGGCGGGTGACACCCCGTGCCTTGTAGATGCGAAACTCGGCGGCCGTCACCGACTCGCCCGTGGGCACCTGGGTCAGGTCAAATCTGAACTCCTTCCAGTAGGGCTTTGGGGAGAAGATGTCCCGGTCCTGCTCGACTGTGGAGCAAAGGGGTCAGGGAGGGCTGTGCCGGCCTGCGGTGGCCCTTGCCGTGCCACCCCCCACCCCGATGGGCTGCTCAGAGCCTGCAGCCCCCCGGCCAAGTCCCATCGACCCAATTTGCCCCCAATTTGGGGACAAACCCCACTGACTCCGGGCCGCTCGCCCCGCTGAGCTCTGGGCTGCTGCTGCCGCAAATTCCCATCTCTCCTCTCCCGAGAACTTGATGCAGCTCCCCCCGTCCCCCTCAGGACTTTATTCTGCTGCAAACCCACCGGCCTCCCAGCCCTCTTTCTCTATTATTAATTAAAAAGAATTAATAAAATATAAAGCATGAAGGTTTGGGCTATGATGGTGCACAGAGAAGCTGCCCCTCGTGCTGCAGTTCGGGGGTCGCAGCCCTTTGCGCTCCTCCAAAAGGTGAAAAACCCACCCAAACCCCCAATTTTGGGGGTTGGTGGGACTGGTGAGAGCAGGAATTGGGGTTTTTTGGAAGCTTTTCTTGCTGCAGGTGATCTGGGACAAAATCTGGACAGCCTTTGCCGGGTCTCACAGGTCCCCTCTCCCCCACAGGCTTTGGGCTGCTGAAATGGGAAGATTTTCAGCCTACGGGAGACCGAGGAGGGGAGGGGGGGGAGGGATTGTCAGGTCACCGCTCTGTGAAAATAAAACCTCGCTTTTTACTGAAAATACCTACTTTCTGCAGCCATCTAGTGCATGCTGGGAACGGAAAAATCTGGTGATTTTTATTAAGTTTTATTAAGATAAAATTAAGATTTATTAAGAGAAATCTTAATTTTATTAAGATTTTTATTAAGTCCATAAAGAAAAAAAAACCACCATCTTTCTTTACGGTAATGCAGCCCCACACAGTTTCTCTAATATGTAATTATTTTCTTCAAATTGTTTTTTAAAAATATTCCCGGCTGCCATGACTGAATATAACTAAAGTGATTAAAGCTCCTCCCGCTTCAGGCACAAAAGCAAGGTAACGAATCTGACCCAGCGCTTACTTTTAAAAGCAAAACAAATAATTCATGAAATGCAACCGCGTGTTTTTAAACGCAATTTTTAACCGATGCCGAGGGAGGAAAGAACATTCAAAATTAAATACACCGTAAAGTTGCCCACCCCGTTTCTACAGGGGGAGCAGCGTGGAGCATCTCTCCTGCCCCGAACACTGAGATTTCAATTTATGCATCCATGGGTTGGGTTTTTTTTTATTTTTTTTATTTTTAATAAAAAAAAAACAACCAACCCACATTCCCTCCAGCTACTGGGCTCACCACAAGTTATGTTATAAAAAAAGCCCGGGGCTAGGCGAGCAGGGGCGGATGCGGTGAGTGCTTCCTGCTGCCCGGCCGGCGGCCAGCTGCGGGCGGGAGGATGCTGCGGGCGGGAGGATGCTGCGGGGAACCGGATCCGGCCCGCGCACCCCCTCGGGGGGATGGACACCGACCCCCCGACCCCGCTGCAGCCCCTCGGGGGGCTCCTCGGCCCTTTTCCACTTTTTCATTTCCAGAACACAACCAGAAGAATCCCCTCCTTTTTCCCTTTTTTTTCCCTTTTTCCCTTTTTCCCTTTTTTTTTCCCTTTTCCCTTTTTTTTCCTCTTTTTCCCTTTTTCTCTTTTTCTCTCTTTTTTCCTTTTTCTCTTTTTTTTCTCTTTTTCTCTTTTTTTTTCTCTTTCTTTTTCTCTTTTTTACTTTTTCCTCCCACTGATAAACCCCCAGCAGGAGGTCCTGCATGCGGTCCAGAGGACACTCAGGTACAAAGTGGTGTCCCCTCAGGTATTTTCATAGAATCATAGAATGGTTTAGTTTGGAAGGGACCTCAAAGCTCATCCCGTTCCACCCCCTGCCCTGGGCAGGGCCACCTCCCCCCAGCCCAGGTTGCTCCAAGCCCCGGCCAACCTGGCCCTGAGCACCTCCAGGGCGGGGGCAGGCACAGCTTCTCGGGGCAACCTGCCCCCGGGGATCACCACCCGCACAGGGAAACATTTCTTCCTCATATCTCATCTAAATCTCCCCTCTTCCAGTCTGAAGCCATTCCCCCTCATCCCATCACTCCATGCCCCTGTAAAAACTCCCTCCCCAGCTCTCCTGGAGCCCCTTTAGGCACTGGAAGGGGCTCTAAGGTCTCCCCGGAGCTTTCCCTTCTCCAGGCTGAACCCCCCCGACTCTCTCAGCCTCTCACCCGGGTATTTCATGGGTCACCCCTTTGCATCAGGCGAGACCCAACTGGATTAAATACCGGCTCAGAAACCACCGTGAAGTTTGCCGAGTGTCTTTGGCAAAGCGATGCTGCAGTATCACTCGGGCGGACGTTGGTGCAGGGACGGGCAGAGGGACTTTTGTGGCAGAACCACGGAGGTCACAGGGACCAAACGACACAGCAAAAGCCCCCGGGGTGATTTTTGGCCCCAGAGAAGGGTGAAAACCTTTGCTAAAGCAGCGCTTTGTTATGAAATTTTCACATCCGCACACTGCGGAGGTGACGGAGGAGAGCGGGGATGAAGGCAGAGGTGGGATGAGCTGGTGGGGAGGGAAGCCCTGGCCAGGGATGAGAAATGCTGAAGGGGACCACAATTAGCCGTGTACTTTGATGAACCAAATGAGCAGGACTTAATAGCAAGCTGCCTAGTATTGGGGATGAGACACTGGGAGGAATCACCGCTTTCTCTCCCATTTTGTGGAGCCGAAGGGTGAAACCCCTCTTGGAAGGGCAGGACCAAGGGCGAAGCATCCCCTCCTGTGCCCACGAAGTCAGTGCCGCGGAGGAGGGCGATGGGGATGAGACCGGCGTTTGGCAAACAGCAAACAGCAGGTTGGGGGGGATGTTTAATATCACTTTAATATTATTTTCTGGCCAAATTATCAATGACTGCAAAATTACAACCTGGCAGCGGGGCAAGCGCGTGTCGCATCCCGACAGCACCCGGCGCCCTTTGCCCAGGCAGAAAAGCGGGTGCTAAAACGTTTTTTGTGCGTGCGGATGCCCCGGAGCCCCCCCCCCCCCCCCCCAACCGATGGCCAGCCGGGACCTCGGCGCGCCTGGGAACCTGTTATTGATTCGAGGTGGGTTGAGTCAGCCGCACCGCCAACCCTCAATTAGCTGTGGGTGGATTATCCGGATTGCGGATGAGACGCACTAAAAAAACCCAACCCAAGCTCTGCGCTCTCCTTGCCCCCTCCTTTGGCATTCTCCATCTCGCCCCGAAGAGCTGCTGCGTCTTTCCCCAAAACTGAATGCCACAACTATGCCGTGTGCTCCCACCACCCCCAAAAAAAAAAAATTTAAAAAAAAAAAAAGTATATAAATGGCTGTGGGGCCATGGAAGCCCTGGCAGGGGATGTCCAGCTCTGGCTGGGCTGAGCCCCACTCTCTCCCAGCCCCTGCGTGGTCCCGCACTCTTCCCAGAGATGGGGCGATGGGGCTGCCTGCCCTGCGCTATTTTTAGCCGCGCTTTTTCATTGTAAACTTTCTCTGTTTCTATAAACGGCGCATCAGTCGTAATTACTGGTCCTGGCTGCTCCCGATGGTCCCCATGATCATTTCAGACACTAAATTAAAAGGAAATGCCAGGATATTCAACCACATCAAGTGCTCTGACTCCTAAAATAGGTTTAAAGGAGATGCAAGGAAGATGCTGTCCTTCACTTGCAAGCAGGAAAAAAAATAAGCTCCGGAGGTTTTCCGAAGCAGGGAGAGATTCATGACTTATCCCAAACTTTGAGAAATGCTGTTGAGTCTCTGCCAGGCTCCTGCTTCATCCCACGAGCGCTTTCTCCATCCTCCCAAGATGAATGTCGGGAGCCGGAGGACACAGGGCTCAGCACCGGGCACCCCCAGCCTGGCTGTGAGGCAGCCGTGGCCCCCCACTTGCATCCCC